AAGTTTGGACTTTAGACAGCTTAGTAGCAATCAAAGGATTTTGAGCAGAGATGTAACTTTCATTCAACAAATATTTCATGAGTTCTTTCTGTGTGGTGCCAGATACACATGAGTTGATACAGTGATGCACAAAACAAAGTCCCTAGCCTACTTGTACTTGCGGTCTGTTGGGGAAACAGTAGATGCGTAAATACATAATGTCAATTTATGGCCAGTGCTGTGAAGAGATACAAGGCAGCATAGCAGGATGGAACTTGACTCCTGAGAGGTGGGGGTGAGGACTGGCATGAAGATATTTGTTTTGGGGTATAGGGAAGGCCCTTCAGTAAAGGGAAAGTGGAATAGAGACCAAACCAGGTGAGGGAGGAGCCAGGCTGATATTTGGGAGAAAAGTGCCACAGACAGAGGGAACAGCTGATGCAAATGAAATGATCCAGTGAGGAGTGCATGTACGTGGGCAGAGCAAAGCAGTGTGCAGGAGGAGTGAGGGAGGGGTTGGAGTGCTAGCAGATGAGGTCAGAAAGGCAGCTAGGGTAGGTGATCCAGGCTTTTAAGGGGATTGGATTGCATTCTAGAGTAGGATAGGAAACCACTGAAGGATGGGGAGTGATATGACATGTTTATATATTAAAAGGACCATCCTGGATGCCATTGACAGGTTGGGAGTAGAAACAGGGAGATGTGTTAGAAGGCTCTTACAGGAAGTGTTGTGTGAAGATGGAAGTGGTGGTGAGGAAGACGGGACAGGAACTTGAACACTCCCATTCCCCTTCTGAAAAAATTAACACCCTAAGTCCTCTTCTCCATTTTCTTTCCTCCTTGTGCCCCTGCTGACTCCCAGCCCCCATTTCCCTCTGCCCTGTCTTCTGTCCTTGTCCCTTGCTCTTGACCTTGGATACTAATTCCCTCAGCTCCTGCCCCTTACCGCAACTGCTTTACTACTTCTAACTTTCCAAGATGACTTTTTCTGGGTAACGAGGTTGGCAGGGTCACTGGGTGACCCCATATCCTCTCACTCAGGTGGTTGTGGCAACAAACATTGCTGAGACATCACTTACCATTGAGGGCATCATTTATGTGCTGGATCCAGGGTTCTGTAAGCAGAAGAGCTATAACCCCCGCACAGGAATGGAATCACTCACTGTCATACCCTGCAGTAAGGTCAGCTTGGGGATGCATGGGGGTCAGGGAGGTAGAATTGGTCCACAGGGAAGGTCCAACTCCAGAAGCAGGGTGGGGGCTTCTTAGCAAACGGGGATGAGCAGTTTACATCCATCTTAATTTCTTGCATAAATACTGCCCTTTTTCTTTTCCCCAACCAAATTGTCAGCTAGCCTGCTCGCCTTTCTTTCCAGGCCTCAGCCAATCAGCGAGCTGGCAGGGCAGGTCGGGTGGCTGCAGGGAAGTGCTTCCGCCTGTATACTGCCTGGGCCTATCAGCACGAGCTTGAGGAAACCACAGTGCCTGAGATCCAGAGGACTAGCTTGGGCAATGTCGTGTTGCTACTCAAGAGCTTAGGTGACTGGGCTACCTGAGAGAAGGGGGAGGTGGGCTGGAGTCATGGTCCTTTGAAGGGATTCTGTTCCATCCTTCCCACCTCTCTCTAGGGATCCATGACCTAATGCACTTTGATTTCCTGGACGCTCCACCATATGAGACACTGCTGCTGGCTTTGGAGCAGCTGTATGCCCTGGGAGCCCTCAACCACCTTGGGGAGCTCACCACGGTGAGTTGGTGGGCAGCATGGGTGGGGGCAGGATGATACGGGTCAGGATGGCTCCAGGGACCCCTATAGCAATGGAGAGAATCCTGAGGGAGGACCGGGCTCAACTCTCTGTCTTCTCTCCTTAGTCTGGTCGAAAGATGGCAGAGCTGCCGGTGGATCCCATGCTGTCCAAAATGATCCTAGCCTCTGAGAAGTAAGCCCTCCTCTCCACCCAGGCCCCCAGGCCTCCTCTGTCTCTGGGGTCTTCTTTGTCTCTTTGTCTTTTTCTCTTCATATTATTATTTAATAAATAATAAATTATTAGATAACTCTGAATGCCCCCTTTTGAGGCCCACAAGGGTAAGACACTTGATCCTTGATCCTGTCCTTGATTATACTAAATGGGCAAGACTGACTGACAGAAAATTCTGGGTCATGAACGAAAGTAGATTTTCCATCTGGGAGGGTTATTGAATGAGGGCTGGTTTTGGAACTTACTCATTCCCAAGGTTTCAAACTAGAACATTTAGATGTAGCTGTGGAGGGACCACCTTTAAATGCCATTCCTCTGCTGTCGAGATCTTTTCCGAATGCACATAGTGAATGCACACTTTCTGTAGAAACCTCAGAAGTCCCCAGTGTTTTCTGCTCCTGCCTCCATGGATATCCCTCCCTTGTGACTGTGTTTCATCTATGCTCCTACCTCCTTGACCCTCAAGCTGCTGCCAGAATCTATCTGCTGGCTGCTTTGTAACCATTATGCCAACCAGCCTTCCCCACATGAGGAAACATCCATCACACAGCGGTCACTTCCCCCTCTACCATATCTGTGCTTATGTGTCTTGCTTTGAACTCGTGCTTTCCCCTTCCTGTCCCAGGTATAGCTGTTCAGAGGAGATCCTGACAGTGGCTGCCATGCTGTCTGTCAACAATTCCATCTTCTACCGGCCAAAGGACAAGGTTGTCCATGCTGACAATGCCCGTGTCAACTTCTTCCTTCCTGGTGGTGACCACCTGGTTCTGCTAAACGTTTACACACAGGTCACTGGGCTTGGGTGAGTGGGAAAGAGACATGGGGGGACTTCAGTCTCGCTGTACACTTAACTACCTCTCCTTTCTTTTTAACTCTCTTCCCAGTGGGCTGAGAGTGGTTACTCTTCCCAGTGGTGCTATGAGAACTTTGTACAGTTCAGATCAATGCGCCGAGCCCGAGATGTGCGGGAACAGCTAGAAGGGCTCTTGGAACGTGTAGAAGTTGGTCTCAGTTCCTGCCAGGGGGACTATATCCGTGTACGCAAGGTCAGCATTTCTTTTGCCTACTGCCTTCTACCCGCAGTAGCTTCCTGGTGGCATGCAGCAGCTCCTCCAGCCTGAGGACATGCCCTCTTCCCCTTATGTACCACATTTCCTCCCAGGGCTTTCTTCCCCAGACCACTGAAGGTTCATTCCTGGGGGATTCTTCATGCCTTCCCTACCTCGCTAGTTTTCCCAAAGCTTGAACTAAAAAGGTAGTGAGCACTTAGGGTCCCCAGATATCTGCCTTTTCCATTGATTTTCTTTCCTGCCTTCCCCTTAGGCCATCACTGCTGGTTACTTTTACCACACGGCACGGTTGACTCGGAGTGGCTACCGCACAGTGAAACAGCAGCAGACGGTCTTCATTCATCCCAACTCCTCCCTATTTGAGCAACAGCCACGCTGGCTGCTCTACCATGAACTTGTCTTGACCACCAAAGAGTTCATGAGACAGGTGAGAACATCCTGTGCCCATACAGGTGGAGTCTGTAGAGAGGTGTCCTGGCAAGCTAAGAACCCAGGTTCAGGTTGCTCAGCCTGATACAAAAATAGGGAGGTAGGGTGAAATGAAAGACATCCTTTTGTTTTTTGTTTTGTTTGAGACAGAGTCTCACTATGTCGCCCAGGCTGGAGTGCAGTGGTGTAATCTTGGCTCACTGCAACCTCTTCCTCCCGGGTTCAAGTGATTCTCGTGCCTCAGCCTCCCAGTAGCTGGGATTACAGGCACAAGCCATCATGCCCAGCTAAATTTTTGTATTTTTAGTAGACATGGGGTTTCACCATGTTGGCTAGGCTGGTCTCAAACGCCCGCCTTGGCCTCCCAAAGTGCTGGGATTACAAGGATGAGCCGCGGTGCCTGGCTGACATCCTTCCTTACAGGTGTCAGCACCTTCCAAGATCTGAGAACTATACATTCATTCAATAAATATTTGAATGGCTACTGTATAGGTGCTGGGCTATAATGAGCAAAGCAGAGTCTCTGGTTTCACAAGTGTACTTATAGTCTTTATGTTCCAGACTTTTCTTAGGAATAGCTTATTTGGTATCTTGAATAACATATAAAGGTGTATCTGCCCTTTGGATATATAATAATAGAGCCAGGCACCTTTACCTCTTGCCATGTAGTCAAAGGGGAAAGATAACTTTCCACCACACACAGAAGGATCTAGGCTGGGGCTGGGCATGGTGGCTCATTCTTGTAAGCCATCCCAGCACTTTGGGAGGCCAAGATCAGCCCAGGCAACATACAAAAAATTAACGGGGCACTGTGATTTGTGCCTGTAGTCTCAGCCACTTGAGAGGCTGAGGCAGGATTGCTTTGAGCCAGGGAGGTGGAAGCTGCAGTGAGCCACTGCAGTCCAGCCTGGGCAATAGAGCAACACTGTTGCCCAGGTTGGAGTGCAATGATGTGATCTAGGCTCACTGCAGCTTCCACCTCCCAGATCCAAGTGATTCTCCCACCTCAGCCTCCCGAGTAGCTGGGATTACAGGAGCCTACCACCATACCCAGCTAATTTTTCGTATTTTTTTAAAGACAGGGTTTCACTATGTTGGCCAGGCTGGTCTCAAACTCTTGACCTTGTGATCCGCCTGCCTTGGCCTCCAAAAGTGTTGGGATTACAGGCATGAGCCAATGCGCCTGGCCAACCGTTTCAATTTAGAAAAAAAAAAAAAAATTTAACAATAAAAAAGGATCTAGGTTGGAAAGATGAGAACTCTATTGCTCTTTTCTCTCTCCTAGGTACTGGAGATTGAGAGCAGTTGGCTTCTGGAGGTGGCTCCCCATTATTATAAGGCCAAGGAGCTAGAAGATCCCCATGCTAAGAAAATGCCCAAAAAAATAGGCAAGACACGAGAAGAGCTAGGGTGAAAGGAGGACATGAACGGAACCTGACACCAGCTCCTTTTCTTTCTATACATTATTTAATATCTATTAAATAAAATTATTTTTAGAATAAAGCTTGTGGGAACATTTGGGATTCAGAGAAATTCTATCTCATATAGTCAGTTAAACTTTATTATTTACAAGTTAAATTACACAGCAGCTTTACACAGCATGAGATGGAAAGGAAGGAAGGAGAGAGAGGAGAGGAAGCTGGCTCCTGAGATTCTTGGCTGCCTCTATGTCCTTCTCTTAGGCATAGCAGTCTTCAGTGCTGCTCCCACTCCAAAGCCAAAGAACCTGACTCAGAACACAGGTTTAAGTCAGGTTCTGGCTCTGACAGCCCCAGAGCCACCAGGGCTCCCACTAGCAGCTTCTTCACCGGCGTTGGAGGTGAGTGTGAAGGCATCAGCTGCAGGGAGAAAGGTTAATGCCAGTTGGGGGAAGCACAGAGATGTTCTACCCTTCACCCAGCCCTACCTAGAACTCACTTTATCTAGGCGATGGCGACAAATGAGGCCACTGGAATTCAGGTAGAAAGTGGAGTAGGCATCATAGGTCCTGGGGAACAGAGAGAGAAGCTTACTGAGGGAGAAGGTGACTGGTTCCAAAGCTTAATCCAAGCATTTGTTTAAACGAGTAGCTCCTAAATTCTGCTACATATTATCACCCGGGAAATTTACAAACATCTCTGCTTAGGTTGTGTCTGTCCCAATTAAATCAGAGTGTTTGGTGTCAATATTTTTTTTTAACAATCCTTGAGTATTTCTACTGTGCAGCAATTTGAGAATTGCTGGTTTAAATACTTACATCCAATGTTTGTGGCTGAGCCTAACAATTTCTTGGGATTCTACTCCCGGGCAGAAATTTAGCAGGTTGTAAGGCTCAACAAATGAAACAGCACTTTTCATTTGTTCAGTACATTTTCTTTTTTTTTTAAGACAGGGTTTCATTGTGTCACCCAGGCTGGAGTGCAGTAGTGTGATCATGGCTCACTGCAACCTCCACTTCCTGGGTTCAAGGAATTCTCCCATCTCAGCCTCCCAAGTAGCTGGAACTGCAGATGCACACCACCATGCCTGGCTAATTTTTGTATTTTTTGGTAGAGATAGGGTTTCACCATGTTGGCCAGAAGGTCTTGAACTCCTTACCTGAGGTGATCTGCCCTCCTTGGCCTCCCAAAGTGCTGGCATTACAGGCGTGAGCCACCACACCTGGCCTGTTCAGTAAGTATTTGAGTACCTACCATGTGCTAAGTACTGTATAGGAAGAAACTGAAGCTCAGAGGTTTTTCTAATATACTCAGTCTCTATTATTTTTTAAAACTAACGTAAACTAAAACAAGTTCCCTGTCCTTGAACAGTCAAGCCAGGATAGGTCAAGGGTTGTTTGGGAGACTAAATCATCTGTAATCCCAGCACTCTGGGAGGCTGAGACGGGTGGATCACCTGAGGTACGGAGTTTGAGACCAGCCTGGCCAACATGGTGAAACCCCGTCTCTACTAAATGTACAAAAATTAGCTGAGTGTGGTGGTGGGTGCCTGTAATCCCAGCTACACAGGAGGCTGAGGCAGGAAAATCACTGGAACCTGGGAGGTAGAGGCTGCAGTGAGCCAAGATGGTGCCACTGTACTCCAGCCTGGGCGACAGAGCAAGACTCCGTCGCAAAAAAAAAAAAAAGACAAGGGAATGATTATAGTTTGGGTCCTTTCTCAGCTCTCTTACCGGTAAAGCTCATCTTTGTCACGCTTGTAGAACCGCAGAAAGAGCAAGTGGATAGGCAGCCCTACGAGCCGCCACCGGGCTTGCAGGGTCCAATTCTCAGGGTGGCGGGTCAGCTGCAGAACCTCCAAACGAAGCTGTGCAAAATAATTCCAGGCCAGGAAACGGCAGAGGGTCAGTGAAAGAATGTACAATGTCCGGCCCCTGTGAAGAAGGGATAGGAAAAAAATCTAACGATGGCAGAATTAGAAAACCAAACTGGCTTCTGTCCAAGGAAGGGGAACAGCTGTGAGAAGCAGTCTAGGAACTTCTCTGGGAAGTGAAAAGAGTCAAGGGTATAGCTTTAGGTCCTTTTCCTCCCCAGGGCCCTACCTGTGCCCCAGTTCTCACTTGGTACGTATGTTGAGGATCTCATTGATGAATTCCACATCCAAGGAATACAGACTGTAGTCGTGGGATTGAAGGAAGAGATTGGGAAGCTAGGTGCAAGAAGACAGCATCGACCCAGTGGGAAAGAAAACATAATTCTATTTTTCAGTTTTCTTTTTTTTTTGAGATGGAGTCTTGCTCTTTTGCCAAGGCTGGAGTGCAATGGTGTGATCTTGGCTCACTGCAACCTCTGCCTTCTGGGTTCAAGTGATTCTCCTGCCTCAGCGCCCCCCCCCTGCCCCCGGAGTAGCTGGTATGACAGGCACGTGCCACCATGCCTGGCTAATTTTTGTATTTTTGGTAAAGACAGGGTTTCACCATATTGGCCAGGCTGATCTTGAACTCCTGACCTCAGATGATCCACCCACCTCGGTCTCCCAAAGTGCTGGGATTACAGGTGTGAGCCACAAAGCCCAGCCAAGAAAATGTTTATAACACATTTTTATGCCTTTCTCATGGTTCCCAAAAGAATCCAGTTGACTAACTCCCTACTTCCAAGGATTACCCACATCCCTTCCCCCTGTAGATGAAGACCACTTTTGCACTGACTTACCTCTTGTCTCAGTCTCTCATACATGACAGACAGATGTTCCTCCATACTAGGATCTCCTGATGGGGTGGTGGGGGAAGGGTGGGCAGTTCCAGGGGCTTGGAAAGGTATCAAAGCCCCAGGATAGGGGCAGGGAGGTCCCTCAAAAAGGCTTCTAAGCCCATCCAGGCAGCCGCTATGCAACTCAGGTTCTGGTCCCTCCTCCCCATTTCTTAGAGGGAGAGCCACCCATGCTGAGTTGAGGGCCTGGATCTGAAGGAGAGGTAGTGGGGGAGCCTGGGGAAGACGCTGGGTGGGAGGCCGTGGGGGCAGAGGAGACCAGAGTAGAGGATAAGATGGGGAAGTGGTTGTTGTGGAGGGGGGCCAAAGGAGTGGGAATGGTAGACTCCCTGGAGAAAGCTGGTCCTAAGGAGAGAACAAAATGTAAAAACATAAGAATGCACTTGCCTAACACCCCTTCATCCCTTGGATGCTCAACAGGCTTCCAATACCTATATTTTCCTGACAGAATGGATGGAATTACTATAGCAAAAAAAGGGATGGATTCATCGCCACCTCCACTGAAAACAAGAGGAAACCATTTTATGTGACACAAGTACAAGTACTGGTACCTCCCAAAAATAGTAGCAAAAATCTTTATTTTTTTTTGAGACGAAGTATCCCCCAGGCTGGAGTGCAGTAGCCTGATCTCAGCTCACTGCAACCTCCACCTCCCGGGTTCAAGCGATTCTCCTGCCCTAGCCTCCCAAGTAGCTGGGATTACAGGCACCCGCCACCAGGCCCGACTAATTTTTGTAATTTTAGTAGAGACGGGGTTTCACCATGTTGGCCAGACTGGTCTAGAACTCCTGACCTCAGGTGATCCATCCGCCTCGGCCTCCCAAAGTGCTGGGATTACAGGCGTGAGCCACCGCGCCCGGCCACATTCCTTGAAGATTCCAACACTGGGGGCAGTTTCATCTCTCTTATTGCAAGAATCACGTAATGCATACTTGATGAGTGAACGAATAACAGGTTTTATTGTACTGTGGATGAAATGCTGCGGACTGTACCTCTCAACGCTTAAGTGTGCTAGGCAAATGTACAGAGAAAAGAACAACTAGCTGAAGCTAGGAATCTAAATTCTCATTCTACCCTGTAAGTTTAGGTACTCTCATTTCCTATGCCTCCGCTTCCTATAAATGAGGACAATAAAGCCTCACTGGGTTATGAGGCCCATGTGAGATAATGACAGCCCCTCTAATGACAGCCAAACCTCAGGAGACAGTTATAGGCTGGCCTTCATTCTCCTGGGTTTACCGACGTTGAAACCGCGAGGGGAGGTCACCCAAAGTCAGGCCTGACCCGAGTCCCTCCACTCCCAAGGAACCCCCCGGGGGACTGTCTCACTCCAGGGAAGGCGGGCCGACCGCTCGGGTACCTCGGTCCCCGACGGTGTCCCAGAGGCGCCGTCTCTGCTGGGGGCGTGGCCATCTTGCCAGCCCCGGCGCACGGGCCCGAACCGGGTGCACACTGGCCGGCCTTCCTGCCAGGACCGCTCTCCGGGTGCAAGATGCGCGGGCTGCTGTGGGTGCCCCGCGGGTCTGCTCTGGGCCGCGGATTTCTGGGGCGGCGCCGAGGCCGGGCTGCGAATCTCTCCGCCCCTGCCCTTCAAATCACCTCCAGGCACAGGTAACCGAGGACAGTCGGGCACAACGCACCCCGCTGCCCGGCCTTCACCCCGCCTGTAAGCCCTCAGCCGTGGGAGCACCGAACTCCCTGCGCTCCAGGCCCTGCAACGCCGCCTTCCCGCCCCAACGACCCCAAGCCAGTCCACGCGCCGCGGGGCACAGGTGGGAAGGGGCGGTGGGTGTCACTGCGCCTGCGCGGAAACCGGTGCGCGCTCCGCCCCGCGCACCGGTTCTGAGGGGGGTCTCTCCCCGCCCCCTCTCCTCTCTCCCGCTGTTCAGCTCTCACCTGGGGTCGAGCCTGGTAGGCGCGGAGGCAGGGGCCGAGACGCCGAGCCGCACCCCGGCTGGGTTGGTACATGATCTTCCGGGAGTGGAGGAGCCTCTTGAGTCCGACCTCCGGCCTCCTCACAGGGGTGAGCGCGCCCCGGAGCCGGCTTCGTGAAGGGGAAAGGAGGGGGGGAAGGGGCTGAGGGAGGGAAACGGAGATGTCGCGCGCTTGCGCACCGCGGGCTTAAGCGAAGCGGCTGTAGGGCTCTATGGACAGTAAGTGCGCTTGCGCTCGCGGGCTCAGAGCCTGCCTGAATGCGCTTGCGCAAATTAGCAGCCCAAGCGCCGATTTCACAGCTGAGACATTTGCGCAAAAGGCTAAGCAAAAACGGCGCCGAACCCGGGGCAACGACAGTGAGGGGTGAGGCGGCTGAAATAATAAGTTTTTCAACAACTCTTGTGATAAAAATAAATACTTTTATTGCTCTGGTTAAAAGAAAGATACAAATGACTTGAAGCTGATAAGCCCGCTGAATGAATGAATGAATGAATGAATGAATGAATGAATGAATCCATCTATTATGAGGGTTGGGCTTTGGCTCTTTCCTGCAGTGAGGGAGAAATAATACTGTGAAGATGTGACACGGGACTGCGGTCACCAAGGCCTGGTGCTGCGTCGTTCCTGTAGGTTTCGAATGAATCTGGCGTTGAATATGTCCCCACCCATTGTCCAGGACTGGGCTGGTGGGGCTGGGGCCTGGGCCTGTGGAGGAGCTGTGTGCACAGGCTTCTCCGCAGACCCATCCTGCGACAAGGCCTGCTCCTCACTGGCAGACCTGGTAGGTGCGGAGATGGAGAGTGAGCTATAGGACTACTAAAGAGGAAATTAAGATTACAGACTCTTCAAGGTCTCGGGCCAGGTTTTAATGTAGGACACATGATGGGTATGATGCTGGAACCATTAGTGGTATGTCCAAATTCAAAATCTCTCAGAGAACCTTTATTCCAAAGGGAAGTACAGAGTTGAACTTGTAGGGAAAGGAGCTTGGAGGATGTAAGGTAGAAGAAATTGTGGGAGGAGCTGGTGTTTTCATACTGTTAAGATTTTGGAGTAGGAAGTGGTTGAGAGTGATGTTAGGAAGGGAGTCAGACGGTGGTGGGAGGCTGTTAGGGGAGGGGTTTAGACCTCACCTATTCTTTGTTTCCTGTTCTCCCTGCTTGGAGTCTTGGTTGCCTGTGGAAATATCAGGCATATGAATGGGAAGGCAGGAGTAGATAGTGAATGTGGCCTACTCGATTTGACAGTAAGGAGAAGTTAATACTTACCTGTATTGGGGGATGAGGAAGTCACCCCCCCATGGCGGCTGTAGCAGCAACTTTGGGCTACCAGCCCTGGGGGAGTCCCCCTGTAGAAGAAATGGGAGATGATGGGGAGGAGACTGGATGAAAGATGGGTGGGTATGGAGGAATCAGAGGAGAGGAGTAAAAGGAACAGCATAGGAACAAAAAGAAGGTGGTAATTATCATTCCTAAGGGGTTTTAATCAAAGCTGTGCCCCAGAAAAGGGTGGTGGGAGTTCATTTTATACCCAAGATTTTCGGAAGCACCTCTGATTTATTGCTCTGTTCTTTCTAGTTGAGGTAATGTGTTAAATCTATGGCTAGATGTGATCCAAATCATGTCATAAGAACAGACTCACATGTAGTCAAAAATTTCTTGGATCAGGTACTCTGGTGTTTGGTTTGGAAAACAGGGTTACCTTAAGTATAAGATTCCTTAGACCAGGCCAGGTGTGGTGGCTCATGCCTGTAATCCCAGCACTTTGGGAGGCTGAGGTGGGCAGATCCCAAAATTAGGAGATCGAGCCTGGCCAACAGGGTGAAACCCCCTCTTTACTAAAAATACAAAAATTAGCTGGGTGCAGTTGTACACTCCTGTAATCCCAGCTACTCGGAGGCTGAGGCAGGAGGATTTCTTGAACTGGGGAGGCAGAGGTTGCAGTAAGCCAAGATCGTGCCACTGCACTCCATCTTGGCGACAGAGTGAGTGAGACTCTGTCTCAAAAACAAACAAACAAAAAAAGCAAAAACAAAAAGATTCGTTAGACCAAAGGGAAACAGGAAGTGACAAGGCTGAATTTTGAATTTCGGAGGAAAAGGAAGGGGGCCTCTGTAAATAGGGTGACAGATTGTGTTAGACTCTCCACAGAAGTAAGGGTTTGTCTTAAGAGAGATCCAGGGGTTTAGTGGAGCAGACATCAGGTAATCAGAATGGGAAGAGGAATACAGGAGGCAGGAGGTAATTAGTGGATACAGAGGTGATGGCAAGCCTTGACATCTCAGCAACGGCTGGCCCAGAGTAAAGGGTAGAAGTCACTGGGGAGAACTGGAAGTTCCTGGAAGGAACGAGGGAGTAGCAGGAGCTCACGCACAAGGATTCAGGACCTACATGAGAGGAGACAGAATCTGAAGAAGGACTAACAGTGAAGATGGGGATAGGCAGACATCAGATACAGGAGCTTTGAGGCTCCTGGGTAAAAGATACGTAGATCTCAGAAATGAAGAAATGAGAGGGAGGCCCTGAGATCCCAGGAAAATAAAGGGTGACGCACAAATGAGGCTGACAAGCTTTTTTTGTGTGTGATTCTTTTTTTTCATTGAAAATGTCAATTTAGAAAACACAGAAGAATTCATATTTTATTGAGACAACACTGAGAGGGAGAAGAAAAGGGAAGAGTGAGTAGGGGAGAGGAGGAGATCCGGCTCCCAAGGATTTCAGGAAACACAGTGGGGCACCTGATCTAGCATACATTCAGAGGGTAGGGAGGGGGAAAGGATCTAGCTATATCTTGGGCATGGAGCAGGGAAGGTCGTCCTTGCTATGGAGTAAACGAGAGAGGAAGGACAGAGGAAGAATGGTCCCCTATCTGATCTCGACAATCTCACAAGATGGGACTATATCAGCATCTAGCTACCAGGGAGGGATGGATGCAAGAGGGGATTCCAGGATCTAACAGATCCTTGAGACTCTGGATCTATTCCCAAGCAACACGCTCCCTCAGAGAATGGATCTAGGGGAAAAGGTGGTGTCAGCCAGTCTCCTTTAGAAACCCCAAAGCAACATCAGTTTGGGGTTCCCTGACACCTACACAAAATGTGGAAATGAAGAGTTTGGCAATGTTGAGTAGATCCCTTTGGGGAGCTGGTAAGTCCCTGTCCTACCTAACTAGACTGCTCTGAAGCAGAGCTTGCTCACTGGCAGCCGTTCTCAGGCTCAAAGGGCAAGTATTAGAGCCACCAGTAGACACTAGAGGCAATATGGGGTTTATCCCATGGATAAGACTCCTTAAAGTTTCCCTGGGAGAGGACGCCTAGACCTTCCATGGTGTTCTAGGGTTTGACAGCAACCAAGAATGTGCTTCTCTAAATGTATGAGCCACCCAACCAAGGGGTCTGGCAACAGATCAGGCTGTCTGTGGGTAAGGTATTTAGAGCCCAAGTTAGGAGATAAGGGGTGATTTTGTGGTAAGAAAAGCTAGAAAGTGTTAGGCCATTTGAGTCCCTGACAACCCTAATGTCTAAGAAAGTCAAAGAGGGAATCTTAGGGGCTCTGTCAGGTTCCACTGGGTCCTACAGGATGCAATGGAAGAATGGGTCTGGGGTTCTCAGGGAGGGTGTCTCTGCCCACCCCAGGTCTCCCAGGGAGGGGAGAGGGTAGCTGTCTGTCAGTATCGACTCTCCTCAGAGCGGGGAAGGGAGCTGTGGAAGGATGTTATGGACGGGAGGAAGGGAGGGGAGATGGGGGGGGAGAGAAAAACAGATAAGTCAGAAGTGAGGAGAAAGCTAGGGAGAGAAATAAAGGAAATGCCCACTCCCTGCCTGCTGGGTGGACTCTTGGCACACAGGCCAGTGGCTGCCCCTTCCCCAGCAAGAGTTAAGCCAAGATCTCCCTAATCTCAGAAGGCTCCATTCCCCCAACTCAACAGATCTGTGTTCTTCCTACCATTCCACACAACTCTCACATTAAAGCCAGGGTCCCTAGGCGTCATATAAAGTCCTGTTCTGCTCTTTCACTGTATTTTTTCCCCCAGATCACTTGCACTTGTATTTTTCTTGAAAGGTTCCAGAACTCCCCAATCCACCCATCTTATTGATCCATCTCTCTGATGGATTCAAATTGCCCTTTGCCATTTCTAACATCCTCTTTGATAGCTGTGAGGCTCCTTAGTCCTTCAACTCTTATTACCTGGTGCGACGACGTTGGGCTGGGCTACCCCCAGGGTCAGCAGCCAGCAGAAGGCGGGCAGTAGGGTGTGGGGGGCAGAGGCGCAAGGAACGCAGCAGCTCCTGCTCTGGCACAAAGGGGCGGAGGGGACCTCGTTCTGGTGAGTTTCCCAGGCTGCTGGAGCGGGGGGGCGGGTGGGCTGGAGGTGTGGCACGGCGAGGGGCCCTGTTTAGGGGCCAAGGAGGCTCCACAGCCACCTTCAGAACTGGGGACAGGGAGAATGAAGAGCAGGACAGAAAAAGAAGAAAAAAAGAGAGGGAAGGAAGAGATAAGAGTCATGATAGCAAAGATTTGGGTAGAAAAAAAGAATCTGAATCTTTTTTTTTTTTTTCTTTTTTTGAGACGGAGTCTTGCTCTGTCACCCGAGCTAGAGTACAGTGGTGTGATCTTGGCTTGCTGTAACTTCCATCTCTCGGGTTCAAGCCATTCTCCTGCATCAACCTCCCGAGTAGCTGGGATTACAGACACGTGCCACCAGGTCTAGTTAATTTTTGTATTTTTAGTAGAGACAGGGTTTCACCATGTTGGCCAGGCTTGTCTCAAACTCCTGGACTCAGGCGATCTACCCGCTTCAGCCTCCCAAAGTGCTGGGATTACAGGCATGAGCTACCATGCCCGGCCCAAGAAATCTGAGTCTTTAGAGAGAACGAATCCTTCCCCTGGGTCCCCTGAGCATTCTCTTCCCTTGTGTTAAGGTCCCCCAGGCCCAGACACCCAACCCTTGCCCCTCTTACATTCTCGGTCACTAGAGGAGTATGGCTTGATGTCTCCCTCTGCTCTCTTGGGTGGCAGCTTCCTTGCTGGAGCTGGTAGTGGAGGGGATACAGGTAGGGTAAGCGTTAGGAGACATACTTTGTACCCCTCCTCCCAGTCACTACCCCACAACCCCAAACCTTTGCTCCCTGACACCGCAGTTCCTCCTGGGAACTTGCAGGAGCAGCACAATGGCAATGCCAGCACACCAAAAGGGAATTTGTGGGGAAGGTGGAACACTTCTGAGGAGAGCCAGAAGGAGGAGGCCAAACACAGAGCTAGGGAGAAAGATCTAAGGGGAGACTCTGGGGGCTGGGAGATGCAGGAGTAGGGTAGCCAAGGGAAGCGAGCTCTTACTGTCAGTGGGTGCTGTCACGGCCCCCTGGGATTCTGGGGCAATGGAATGGTCCCAGCCGGGCCAACGAGGACCCTGGGCTCCTCTGGATGAGATGGACAAAGCCCTTGGTTAATCAGGAATTGCTCTGGAGAGGTCAGGGGAGGTTTGGAAGGAGGGCAGAATCTCTCCTTCCTATACAAAGATGGGAAGAGACTGAAGTTTTATTAGGTTAAAAAATAAAAAGGATGAGGAGAAAATAAATAGGGGCATCTGAAAAGGAGCTATCAAAGTAAACGGGAGGCTGATGTAATATCCACAGTTCAGCCTCCTCTTCTGCACTTCTCTGCTTGCTCCCCACTTTCCCTCTTGAGATTCTCCATCATGTGTGGCAAATGAAAGACTTCTCAGCGAATTCACTTAGGCTTTATCCACAGCACCCTCCCGTGAAGGCCTGAGTCCTCACCATCCTTGTTGGCCCTCAATCCCTCTCACAGCCTGTGGTTCAGCATGAGCTAAGTGGGAGAAGCCTTGGAAACCAAAGCGAGTCATGGACATGAGGTGCCTCTCAGTGCCTGACACTGCGATGCTCATAGCTGGTTCCAAACTGCTCTTTGGATGGTGGTTACTCCCTTTCCTGGCCACAGAGCCAGCTCAGGAAGGGGGTTCTTCTGGGCAAACAAGCATTGTACAGCCGTTAGAAGTTGATAAGGTGGAGTGGTGAGAAAGAGGAAGGAGTATGGCTAAGACTGGCAGTAAGAGTGTGTGTGTGTGTGTGTGTGTGTGAGCGAGAGAGAGAGAGATGGGGAATCTGGACAGCATTTTAGTGCATCTGAGGTTTGGTTTCTCCAGATCAATTTCTTTTTTTTTTTTTTTGAGACAGAGTTTCGCTCTTGTTACCCAGGCTGGAGTGCAATGGCGCGATCTCGGCTCACCACAACCTCCACCTCATGGGTTCAGGCAATTCTCTTGCCGCAGCCTCCTGAGTAGCTGGGATTACAGGCATGCGCCACCGTGCCCAGCTAATTTTTTGTATTTTCAGTAGAGACGGGGTTTTACCATGTTGACCAGGATGGTCTGGATCTCCTGACCTCGTGATCCACCCACCTCGGCCTCCCAAAGTGCTGGGATTACAGGTTTGAGCCACCGTGCCTGGCCCAGATCAATTTTATTATCGGGTTTGAAACATAAATTCTGAGTGTTATCTTCTAAAAGTAACATTTAAACTTTGGGCCATTTGTGTCACTATTCTGTGACTTCGAATTGAAGGGCTGTTTGCACCAGCCTGTCCCTCACTGGCTGACAGAAGCCTGGGGTTTACAAAGGAGCCTGACTCTGGCCTATGTTGCTGGACTTGAACTAGCAAGAGGGTCCATTGACATCAGTTGTCAAACAGGCTCCCAATGAGCTTGCTTGGTTAAAAATCTTGCCAAGTACAAAATGCACTGAGCTCCCATGGAGGCAAAGGCAAACAGGCATGACTGCAGGAGACTTGGGTTGCTTGAGAATTTCCTAAAACTGCCCACAGATAGCACTGTACTCCGTGGCGTCTAGAGTAAGTAGCCATCACTGCACTACAGTTCCACCCCTTCAATACAGGCTTTACCAGTGGGCGTGGGATCAACTGCAGCAGCACGAGAGTGTCGAGTTGCCCTCAGAGAGGGAGCAGGGGGCCCTGTGAGGAAGGAAGCAGCGGTGCCCCTCAGTGAGGGGCCAGCAGGACCAAGAGTCCATCTCTTTCCTTTCCCTCACCCCTACTACATGACCAACACAAGGCGAGAAAACTTACGATGTTGATGGGCAAAGAAGCCTTCAAAGATCACAAAGTTGTTCACCTGGAAGATGAAATAAACAAAATACAATCCTGCATCACTTAACGAGGGAGATACATTCTGAGAAATACGTCATTAGGTGATTTCATTGTGTGAACATCACAGAATGTACTTACACAAACCTAGACACTATGCCTACAACACACCCAGACTCTATTGTACAGCCTATTGCTCCTAGGCTGCAAACCTGTACATCATGTTACTATACTGAATATTGTAGGCTTTTTTTTTTTTTTTTGAGAGGCAGGGTCTCACCCTGTCACCTAGGCTGGAGTGCAGTGGCACCATCACAGCTCACTGCAGCATTGACCTTATGGACTTAAATGATCCTCCCACCTCAGCCTCCCAAGTAGCTAGGTGCATGTCACCACATCTGGCTAGGATGTTTTTAATTTTTATTTATTTATTCATTTATTTATTTATTTTGAGACGGAGTCTTGCCCTGTCGCCCAGACTGGAATGCAATGGCGCGATCTTGGCTCACTGCAACTTTTGCCTCCGGGTTCAAGCAATTCTCCTGCTCCAGCCTTCCAAGTAGCTGGGATTACAGGCATGCACCACCATGCCTGGCTCATGTTTTGTATCTTTAATAAAGATGGGGTTTCACCAAGTTGGCCAGGCTGGTCTCGAACTCCTGACCTCGTGATCTACTCAACTTGGCCTCCCAAAGTGGTAGGATTACAGGCGTGAGCCACCACGCCTGGCCTAAATTTTTGGTAGAGATGGGGGGTCTCACTATGTTGCCCAGGCCAATCTCAAACTCCTAGGCTCATGTGATCCTTCTGCCTCAGCCTCCCAAAGTTCTGGGACTATAGGCATGAACCACCGTGCTCAGCCAGCTGTAGGCAATTCTAACATAATGGTTTGGCTGGGTGTGGTGGCACACACCTGTAATCCCAGCACTTTGGGAGGCCAAGGCAGTGAATCACAAGGTCAAGAGATCCAGACCATCCTGACCAACATGATGAAACTCTGTCTCTACTAAAAATACAAAAATTAGCTGGGCATGGTGGTGTACACCTGTAGTCCCAGCTACTTGGGAGGCTGAGGCAGGAGAATTGCTTGAACCCGGGAGGCGGAGGTTGCAGTGAGCTGAGATCCCACCACTGCACTCCAGCCTGGGCGACAGAGTGAGACTCTGTCTCAAAAATAATAATAATGGTTCAGCTGATGTATCTAAACATAGAACAGGTACAGTAAAAATATGGTATAATCTTTATACCATATTTTTATAGCACATGACTCTATAGCTGTCTGCTGGCCACTCAGCACATACTTGGGTACAGAGTCCTGTGTAAGGAAAATCATAGGAGGAAGAACAAAAGCCAACTTTCTTATCTTTGACAACAGACACAGTAAAAAAAACTCAGACCCCAAGAGGCTGATCCTAAAGTTCACAAGAAATTGCAAAGGATCTCAGATAGCCAAAAACTATCTTGAAAAAGAACAGGCCGGGTGTGGTGGCTCACACCTATTATCCCAGCACTTTGGGAGGCCAAGGCAGGTGGACCACTTGAGGTCAGGAGTTCGAGACCAGTCTGGCCAACATGGTGAAACCCCATCTCTACTAAAAATATAAAAATTAGCTGGGCATAGTGGCACATACCTGTAATTCTAGCTACTGGAGGCTGAAGCACGATAATTGCTTGAGCCTGGGAGGCAGAAGTTGCAGTGAGCCTGAGATCATGCCACTGAACTGTAGCCTGGGTGACAGAGCCAGACTCCATCTCAAAAATAAATAAATAAATAAACAAAAGCTAAAATTGGGCCAGGTGCCGTGGCTCATGCCTGTAATCCCAGCACTTTGGGAGGCCGAGGCAGGCGGATCACAAGGTCAGGAGTTCGAGACCAGCCTGACCAACATAGTGAAACCCCATCTCTATTAGCCGGGCATGGTGGCACATGCCTGTATTCCCAGCTACTCGGGAGGCTGAGGCAGGATAATGACTTGAATCCGGGAGGTGGAGGTTGCGGTAAGCCGAGATTGCACCATTGCACTCCATCCTGGGCAACAAGAGTGAAACTCCATCTCAAAAAAGAAAAAGAACTAAAATTGTGAATTATTAGACTGAAACATAGGGGTAAGTTTTCATGACCCTGGATTAGGCAAGCTTCTTTTTTTCTTGAATCCACCTCCTGGGTTCAAGCAGTTCTACCTCAGCTTCCTGAGTAGCTGGGACTACAGGCATGTGCCACCATGTCAATTTTTTTGTATTTTTAGTAGAGACGGGGTTTCACCATGTTGGCCAGGATGGTCTGGATCTCTTGACCTTGTGATCCACCCACCTCGGCCTCCCAAAGTGCTGGGATTACAAGCGTGAACCACCGCACCCAGCCAATTTTTTGTATTTTTAGTAGAAATGGATTGAACCATGTTGGCCAAGGTGGTCTTGATCTCTTGATCTTGTGATCTGCCTGCCTCGGCCTCCCAAAGTTCTGGGATTACAGGCGTGAGCCACCACGCCTAGGTGGCAAGTTTCTTAAATATGACACCAATGCACAAGAAACAAAAGAAAAATTATACTCCATCAAATTTGTTTTTTTGAGATTTGAGTCTCACTCTGTCACCCAGGCTGGAGTGCAGTGGTGTGATTTCAGCTCACTGCAACCTCTGCCTCCCAGGTAGAAGTGATTCTCCTCCCTCAGCCTCCCAAGTAGCTGAGATTATAGGTGCCCACCACCACACCTAGCTAATTTTTGTATATTTAGTAGAAACAGTGTTTCGCCAGGTTGGCCAGGCTGGTCTTGAACTCCTGATCTCAGGTGATCTACCCACCTCGGCCTCTCAAAGTGCTGGGATTATAGGCATGAGCCATTGCACCAGGCAATTTTTTTTTTTTTTTAATGGATGAGAGGTTTTTATGTTGCTCAGGCTGGCCTTGAATGCCTAGCCTCACTTCCTCATGTGCCAGGACAACAGGCCTGAGCCACCGTGGCTCACCAAAATGAAAACCTTATGCTTCACTTTTCACTAAGAAAGTCTGGTCTGTAATCCCAGCACCTTGGGAGGCTGAGACGAATGGATCATGTAAGGTCAGGAGTTCAAGACTGGCCTGACCAATATAGCGAAACCCCATCTCTACTAAAAAATACAAAAATGTGCTGAGGGTGATGGCGGGCACCTATAATCCCAGCTACTCAGGAGGCTGTGCCAGGAGAATCACTTGAACCCAGGAGGTGGAGGTTGTGGTGAGCCCAGATTGCACCACTGCACTTCAGACTGGGAGACAGAGCAAGACTCCGTCTCAAAAAAAAAAGCAACTCATACATCTGATAAGGGTGTTATGTCTAGAATATAAGAAAAACTCTTATAACTCAACAACAAAGAACACAATTTAAGATTGGACTAAAAAATAAAAAAGAATGGATAAAGGACTTAAATAAACTTTTCTCTAAAGAAGATATACAAATGGCCAATAAACACATAAAAAGGTGCTCAAGGCTGGGCATGATGGCTCATACCTGTAATCCCAGCACTTAGGGAGGCTGAGGCAGGGGGATGACTTGAGGTTAGGAGTTCAAGACCAGCCTGGCCAAGATGTGAAACCCTGTCTTTACTACAATACAAAAGAATTAGCCAGGCATGGTGGTGTGCACCTGTAATCCTAACTATTCTGGAGGCTGAGGCAGGTGAATTGCTTGAGCCCAGGAGGTGGTGGTTGCAGTGAGCTGAGATTACTCCAGCCTGGGCAAGAGAACAAGACTACGTCTCAAAAAATAAAAAGAATTCAGCAGAGTTCAAATGGGTGGGAGAATTCAAGGAAAGATATGCTGGAGGCCAGGATGCTACTTTGATAACTAGTAACTTAATTTTATAGTTACTTCATTATATTTTCACATTCAATTTGGCCTTCACAACAATCCTGGAAGTCACTATTTGAAAGAAAAGGGGGGTAAATACAGCCTTGGAGACATGGCTTGGCTTGGCCAATGCCAAGTAGTTACAAGTGGCAGGGCTGGGCCTCAAATTCCAGACTTCTGATTCCAGCTGCAGTGTCTCAGCCAGGAAAATAGTGTAGTCATTACAAGTTTACTCGGGGTTGGGCTCGTTGGCTCACTCCTGTAATCCCAGCATTTTGGGAGGCCAAGGTGGGTGGAGCACTTGAGGTCAGGAGTTTGAGACCCTACCTCTAGTAAAAACACAAAAATTAGCTGGGCATGATGGCGTGTGCCTGTAATCCTAGCTACTCAGGAGGCAGAGGCTGTAAGTGAGCTGAGATTGCGCCACTACACTTCAGCCTGGGTGACAGAGCAAGACTCCATCACAAAAAAGAAAAAAAAAGTTTACCGGGGGCCGGGCATGTTGGCTTACATAGATAGCTTGAGCCCAAGCGTTCAAGACTAGCCTGGGCAACACAGCAAGACTTCATCTTTACAAAAATATTTTTTAAAATTATCCAGACTATCCTGATACTACTGGAAAAAAAAAAAAAAAGTAAAAAGACCAAAAAAAAAAAAAATTAGCCAGGCATGGTGGCTTACACCTGTAATCCCAGCTACTTGGGAGGTTGAGGTGGGAAGATCTCTCTTTTTTTTGAGATGGAGTCTCACTCTGTCGCCCATGCAGGAATGCAATGGTGTGATCTTGGCTCACTGCAACCTCTGCCTCCCAGGTTCAAACTATTTTGCCTCAGCCTTCTGAGTAGCTGGGATTATAGGAGCGTGCCACCACACCCAACTAATTTTTGTATTTTTAGTAGAGATGGGGTTTTGCCATGTTGGCCAGGCTGGTAGGGAAGATCTCTTGAGCCTAGGAGGTGGAGACTGCAGGAAGCCCTGATGATGCCACTGCACTCCAGCCTAGGCAACAGAGCAAGACCTTGTCTCAAAAAGAAAAAAAAGTTCACTGGGTAAATGGCTATGGGTTCAAATGTGAACTCTACTATTTACTGGCTGTGTGAACTTGGTTAAGTCACTAATTTGTATAAACCCAAAATAGTTTTAATAATAGTACCTACTTCAGAAAGACATGCAAGGATCCAATGAGATGATGCATATAGATA